GGTGCAATATTAACATGAGAATGTGGACTTAAATCAATAATTAGAGTTTAATGATAATAATAGAACTCGCTGATTATATATACTGTTATGTACTAATAACAAAAATACTTAAAGTAAAAAATAATCCAGTTTCTGCAAACTACAGCATTGTTATACAATCAATGCTAGAACATTTTTAGTTAAGAAGTTATATTAACATTAGAAATGAGTTTAAATAAATAATTAGAAATTAAAGGAAAAATATTAAAATTCGGAGATTATGTGTAAAAATAAATAATAAAAATTCATCATCAAAAAAATATAGGTTCTGCAGAATTCCAGATAATTGAAAAATCAAGACTAGGACAATTTTGGTAAAAATTTAATTAAAATTATTATTATGAAATAAATTTATTAGAAGCTTTAATTAATTAAATATTTTTAGCAGCTTTATATTCTCAGTTTAGTTTTTGTAATGTACAAATCAATTTTATTTAAGGAACAGTTATTTTAGTTTAAAAAATGTAAAATGGCTAAATTTTCTCAATTCATATTACATATCAGATATGAATTAAGTAGATGTACTTATATATTGCAGTAAGAAAGTCTTTATTAAACTTTCCTGAAAGAATATACTATACAGATAACTTAATAAATATTTACTATACAGCTCTCCCACAACTTTTATTGTTTAAAAATTTTACCTGCTTAAAAGAAAATAAATATTCATTAGAAGCATAAATACTTGATTTCAATTAATATATGGAATGCCTATTCCAACGTTTTATTTTTGAAAAACAAAATCAAATTTTTATTTTATATTTGAAATATGTATAATAAATATTAAGAAATGTTAGATCAAGTCTTTTGGAACTAAAGATTTAATAAGATTTTAAGATTTCTTTTTTATGCAAGATTTTAAATATAATTTGTATCGATTTTTATACAAGTCCAAAATTTATATACCAAAAAAAGTTTTTTTTTTTTTTTTTTTTTCTGGCAAATTTATATTTTTACATTTAACAGATGCTGTTTTATTCGCATCCATTTTTTATCAAGTCTACTAATGGTTTGTAAACTTACTGCAAGTCCGTAAACTATGTCAATGGGTTCTTTTTTAAATTCTTTTCATATACATCCGTACAGTTTCCTATTTTCAGCTTTTTAAATATAAATTTACAACATTGGACATTTATAGTACACACGCTGCAAAATGGGCAGAATTATCATGAATTCTTCCTTAATATGTCTATTTATTTGGAAAATATAGTACAATTAAGCAATCGAGATCTATGAAATAAATGGGTTGCGGTTAGCATTAGACATTGGTGGAAAATGAAATTCTAGTACCAAGAAGAAGTTAGCTTAAAAGAATGAAAATAAGGCACATTATTTGTCAAGGTAGCATATTTATTCGATTAAATTTGGAAGGACACAGGTTAAAGAATTCGCAATAACAGTCATCTCAAATGTGAAATGGTGGTGCATTAATAAGAGCAGTAGTCTCCACGATTCTGAATGCAAGCATGTAAACGTACATGTGGTATATGTTGTTATATACATTTTATATGTTGTACATTTGTGGGGTGGAGTTCCATGCCTATTGCATTTACACAGTCAAATCAGTAACGGTGTTTGCTGATTGAGAAGGACGCTGCATTTGCTGTCAATAATTTCCCATACCTGACAACAGCGGTATGGGGGAGGAGCCTTATCCTTTTAGAAAAAGGCCCCTTGGAATAGTGATAAAATATAGCAGCACAACTGGTTCAATCACCAGTCTGAAGTACAAATTTGCTGCCGTGCTGCCTGAGATAAAAGTGCCCCTGGTGTAATAGGAAATGTATCTCCAGAAACTCCTGGTGTAGCTTGGGGCCAGCGAGATGAATTAGTCTTCTATCGGGTCGGAAGCATGTTGTAAAAATTGCATTATGACGTCATTAGCGGAATCCGTCCAGTTGACTAGAAATTCTTCCCGCTTTCGGTGGTGTGGTGGGTCTTTGAGATCTGTGATAAGCAGTATTATTTGAATTGGAATATTATAAATATTTTGTGTTGCTCTCTACTTTTAGTTGCTTAATAATAATGCTTTAATATTATTTCAGTATTTGAGTTTGTAATTGTAGTATTAATAATTTCATAGAGAAAAAGTCAAGCCTTGAAGTATTATGCCTGCATTGTTTACGTATGTAGATGGTTGTCTGAAAGAATTTTCTTCTCTGTCAACTAAAGAGGTGGTCTTTATAGAGAAAGATTACGTATTGTTTTACGAGCTAAATATTTTCAGGGACAAGCTGCACGGATATATGTTTCATTTAAACTACACAAAAATTTGACTATGTCTCCATGGCATGGTGAAACAAGTTTGGTTAACAGCTTGGGAATATCTGCATTGCAGTAAAATTGAACAACACTGAAAATTTCTTAAGGATTTTAGAAAATAGAAAGAAAATGAGGAAAGTAAGAACCATTTTATTATTGATGTTGCAATATTGCCTCATCCAGGGGGCTAATGATCGAGTGGCTAGCGCACCCGATACCACAGGTTCGAATTTGAGTCTCGGCGGTGCCATGGGTGGTTCGGAATCCACTTTACACCGTAGGTCCCGGTCTAATACGATCGTAGAGCGTTGCGGGGGTATTGTTACTCCGCGTCCGTTGCTTATCTTCTAGCTACGCGCACCTCCAGGGTAGTGCTAAGTGAGTAACGTCAGTGCAGCCCTTGCTTATGGTATAAAAGATAACTGTCTAAAATATTTTCCAGCTGCATTAGAAAAAATATATTACCTCATCCTGCTTATCTTAAATATCTATCTAATTCCTATAATAATAAAAGTAACCTTGACATTATAATCATATATCATATTTAAAGAAGAAAGTTGAATTATTTAAAGAAAATGAAAAAAAGCTTTGCCTTTTACTTCATGAAATAATCATAATTCCTGGTATTTCATATCTGATTATATTGCTGGTATAGGTGAAAATTTTATTTATGAAGCTACTTTATTTCAAGTTTTTATGATATTAACAATGTTTTCTAAACATAAAGGTACAATTGCATTAATGCAAATGAAAAACCAAACTGCTGACGTATTGTATTCAAATACTCTAAAAGTTTAAAAGTTTTAAAAGAAATCAATTATACTGTTTTATGTTTAATATCAGATAACAATAGAATAAATAGAAATATGTTTATCAAAATGTGTATTGATATCTTAAAATACTGCATTCAAAATCAAGTTCAGCCAGAAAAAAATATTACTTTTATTAGACATGTATTGTTTCTAATACACTTAATAAAATGTATTAGAAACAACTGGATGAAACAAACAACAGAAGACCAGATTCTTCATTTTCCCAAACCAAATCATTTTTTATTGGTAAGGTAAGTATATATAGTAAGTTTATTTGGTAAGTATACAATCTTTAAAAAATATATTTATTATATTTATTATTTTTTAAAAGTTATGTATATTTTAAAAAATATCTATGAATCTGAGAAAATATCACTTGTAAAAATTGCACCTAAATTATCTCAAAAAGTTTTATATCCCTCTTCATTTGAGAAACACAATGTTTTATTTGCTTTAAATCTATTTCATGAAACAAACATAATTGTTATAAAGAGTGAACTAGATGCAAAAACTTATAATACAGCATTTGTTGATTAGTCCTAATAATAGAGCATTTATTGATTTTATACTAAAATGGTGGAAAATCGTTAATGTTAAATAACCTCAAAAAGGTTTTAAATTGAATAATGACCTCTGAATAATAAGTATTAGTGATAAAAATGTATTATTTTTAAAACGATTTAATGTTGCCCTGTTGATGGAAAAATTTAAGTTATTTAAAATTTTCAGAATGAAAAAAAATTTGGACTTTCCTATAGAGGTGGTAAGCTTACTAAAAGACTCATTTTGATCTTCATTTTATTAACATTGGAATCTTTAATATTAATAAATTACATTTTGAAGCATTTTGTTAGGAAAATTTCAAACTACTAAACTACTACTGCATTAGAGTCTCGATTTGGACAATATCAACAGATATTGGGGGAATGGGGGAACTACAATGTGTCTTTTCAGCAAGTTTTTGAATCCGAAGATAAATTAAAAATAATTAGTGGACTACAACTGTATTCAGAAATAAACGATGAATTCCAATTAAAATCGAGTCTTTTAAATCAGATAAAATCTCTGGACAACGTAATATTCTCGATATTTTATATGAATCATTTAATTGATGTGACGAGTATTTGAAAGAAGGCAAGTTTGTAAGAAAATTAATTGCAAATTATGTTGGGAGTTATTAGTTTAAAATAATAATCTTGAAAATGAAATGGATAATTGTAAAATGAAAGGATATTAATTATTATATACAAAAGTGACTTAAAATGGCCCACACAAATTGTTGTTGACATCATTGTTTAAACTTTCATATTTATGACTAATAAGATTTAAAAGTATTATGTAAGAATATTTTTAGAGTGTATAAATAAAAAAAATCTTTATTAAAACAATTAGGTTTTGAAAAGTTGGATTGTACAGCTTTTATTTCAGAAACTCAATGTATCTGTACAATTAAAGTAGAAATTTTAACCGAACATTATTTATCTGTTTCAGTTAATATTTTTATTAATAACTATTTTAAGGTAAGAAATGATAAAATTAAGGTCCCAAATCAAAAAAAAAAAAAAAAAAAAAAAAAAAAAAAAAAAAAATTGTTACATTTAACCTCTTAATAATCTAATGAAAAATGCTTTTGGCTAGTTTGAAAATCTTTTAATATAACTATATTTGGTATCAGATTTTCAAATAGTCGCTGTATTTTGTATATTTGCTTTACAGTAAAAATATTTGATAACCTGAAAATTTATTAATGTAACAATTCATGATGTATATAAATGCATATATTTTGATTTAGAATTAGAATATTAGTTATTTAATGTTGAAATTTTAGAGTAATTATTCAGTAGAATATAGACTATTGAGCATTTAGATATTATGATTTCATATAGAGCCACCATGGCTCAGTGGCTAGAAACACTGGTCTTGTAAACCAGGGTTGGTGAGTTCAATCCTCACTGGTGGCTGCAGGTTAAGCAGAAAGTTTTCTTAATTTAAAAATTATAACGTAACGTTTTAATTGACCAAGCTGTCTAAGTGTTTGCCAGCTGCATTAGTAAGAAAAAAAAAAAAAAAAATGATTTCATATAAGATTAACTAAAAGGGATAATATCCTGGTGACTCCATTTAGTGTTTGACTAGAAACATTCTGGTTCTGTTCTGAAATATTCCGTTTAGTGTCTGACTAGAATCTTAGAACTTCCTCCTCCGCAGTTTATAACTGAAATCACAATATCCCCTAATTGTTTTGAGCAGCGTATATATACATACTAGATCATAAGGAAGTATTCAATAAAAGTTTTTAAACTTACTTTCTGCGTGTTTATTCATTAATTTCTGAGTTTTTTACTTCAAATTTAAATATTACTGTACTTTTGATTAATATTAAAAAGTATACTATATTTACAAAAATATATGTTAAAATAATAAAGAGAACATATATTTAAATGAATTTGATAGCAAAATTTTTCGAATTAATGATTTTATAGAGATTATGTATCTATACGATAAGGAAGTATTTGTTTCAATAAAAGCTTTTTTTATTACATTTTGTGTGTTTATTTGTAATTTTCCGAGTTTGTACTGCACATTTAAAGATAAAAATACTTTTGATTTAATATTAAAAAAGTATATTATCTTTACAAAAATATATGCTAAAATACTTGAAAAGAAATAAAGAGACATATTTAAATAATGGTTATATCAATTTTCGAAGTAATGATTTATAGAGATGTATCTGAAAACTAAAAATAAACTTTCTATGTTTTTAATATAATGGGAAATATATTTATTTCTCAAAAGGTATAGAATAATAATTTGTAATTTTTCAGAATTTGTAATTTTTAAAAATATAAATCAGTAGTTCTCAAAGGGTAAACACAATTTACAAAAATATATGTTAATAAACTTGAATAGAAATAAAGAGAAGACCAAGATGATTTCCAGGTACTCCCTGTGGCATTCCAGAGAAATATCTGTTCTGATACAAAAATAAATATAGTTACTCTTTTTCCTATCATATTTCCTTCCACAGGCAACTTTAATTATCAACAACTAATCTTTCTTTCTGGTTACTTTTTTCCATTATTCCAATATAAAAGTGCCAAACAGCGATAATGCGCCAAAGAATGTTTCCGAGAAACTAGGAACTGCAAATTCCATGGTTGGCACAGAAGCATCAAGTGTTAGCGTCTGTGTGATTTTCAATTTTAAAAAATTTCCATTGCAGACTCTGAGAATCAGCCCTCTGTAAGTAGAGCTCTGTGGAGTTAATCATCTAACATTAATTGAAGAAAAAATAATTAGCAGTTATATCCACTGATTGTGGATTGAGGAAGAAACATAAGGAATTGTCTCTTGAAACCTTTTGATATTCATGTAAAAGAAGGATGCTTGTCAATATCTAAGCTTTGAAAATTTTACTACAATTTTCAGCCTCATATTTATGTGAATTAGAATTTTCTACCCTCACCACAATTAATATAGAAAAGAGAGGAAATCTTCAATGTATTGATGAGGTAATGAGAGTTTGCCTTCAAATAAATATAAGCTGAAATATAAAAGAAATCACTAGAACATTTCAGGCTTATGTTCCTTATAAACACAAAAATAAATAAACTTGAAGTGCTTTTCATTTTATTTTTTATCGCATTATTTTTTTCTGTAATATTTGACTTAACTATTATAACATATTAGTCAGAAATTTGTAAATAAGGCGTCAGTAATTATTTGTAGGATCTTAAATGCTCCCAGGCTTCCAAGAGTTTGAGAATCCCTGATCTAAATACATAAGTTTTTATATGATTACAATTGAATGAATGAAAAATCAGATTTAATTTATCATAAAAGGAAAGTTAAATTGCAAATAAAATAATATCAAATTATAGAGAGAAAAATAATATTTTTACTAGAAAATGTTTTACATTTAACTTGAAATTCCCCCTCAGTTTTTATGTTTAAATAAAAGATAGTTGCTTATACCACATAAATAGTTGCTAATATCAAATGACAAAAAAAACAAAAACATTTTTGTTCTAATTATAATTTATGTAAATAACCCAAATATGTCTAATTTCAACCATTTACCTAAATTCTATTATAATAAAATTGCTACTAGGTGGTGAATGAGGAGAAATTTAATATTTTCTAAATAAAATAGACTTAACATGAATAATAATTTGTAAAATTTTGGTTTGCTCTTGTGCATGTAAATTTCTAAGTAAAAAAAAATGAATTTGTTAATTAAAATATCTATCAATAAACATTAATTTTTTTTTTAAAAAAAAAATTGAGCGTGTTCATTTAAAAATTTCTCAAACCATCAGTTTTTAAATATAAAGTTGAAACTTTCTGAAACAGAAATTAAAATAAACAGTAAATAAATTAAATGGTAGATAATTTTTAATAAGGATTCAAGCTCTTTTAATATGAATAAAAAATTATTTTAAAGTAAGTTATAAAATAGAATTAAAATCAGTTTCGTACTAAAGACTGTTAAAATATCTGTTTATCGCTCTGGACGCTTTCCTACAAGTGCGGGACGTCACAAATTACTATCTAGGCTTAGTATCTAGGGCAGAGATGGGCAAACTTTTTTTCGGTCGCGGGACAAAAATCGGGGAAAAAAAGTTTGGCTGGCCAAGATAAATTTTCTAAAATTTTAAGAACAATATAAAATATTACAATTTAAATATGTTAATGAGGTGAAGGAAATTACGATTTCATTTTTTAAAATTTCCTTATATTGAGGTTCGAAGTGAGATGGACTGATTCTAAGGAACGAGGCTAAATGCTCACCTGTCAGTCTATTTCTGAAATAATTCTTTCTAAGGTTCATAGTTGAAAACACTTGTTCACATATATAAGATGAGGCAAACACAGCACTGATTTTCTGGGCGTGCAGTTAATAAATTTAGGAAACTTACTTTCGATAATGATTTGTAAAACTCTAACTTGTTGGCGCCAATCTACAGCTATAACTAGGAAAGAACTTCCGCGTTTAATACCTTACCGATCGAAAGTTGTCTGTGCTTGCTATTTCCGTCGATTTATATTAGGGATATATAATATATAAATATATATTTCTTTTAATTTGCCTCGGACCGGCAAATTAAAATTCTATCCGCAGGCCGGATAGAATGCTCGGAGGGCCAGTGTTGGTCCACGGGCCGTAGTTTGCCCATCCCTGATCTAGGGGTATAGGTTTAGCTCGGAACTGTCCCTCAAGTAATGGTTTGCTATTGTTCGTTGCCAACAAGCTCGATGCCAACAGAAGCTCAATTTCTGCTACAGATATAATACAATGCGCTACAGCCATCCGGTGAACATGGTGGTCGTTCATCTGAGTAGTGGACACGTGCGCTGCCGGAGCAATGTCTTCTTTAGCCAATACCCTCCCGTTACCATAGTTGCTAACATTCATGCATATTGGATACATCCTTCCAAGTCATTCTACAATATCGCGAAAAGAAAATCCACCTTCTCGTAGCTAGCCCTGTTACACCAACACGGACTGTCGCTGATTTGACTGAGCAAGTGCAACAGGCATGGAATTCCCTCTCACAAAATGACATCCGGCATCTGTACGACACAATGAATGCGCGTTTGCATTTAAAATCGGGGAGACTACAGCGGCTATTAATGTACCACTATTTAGCATTTGATATGGCTCTTATTCAGCATTCTTTAATCCAATAAATATTAAACATTTACTCAAATAAATATGTTACTTAGACAAATGATTTGCCTCAGTTTTATTTCTCTAAATTAATTTCTTCTTCTTGTTGGGATTTCATTCTCTACCAATGTATTTTTTCAATTGAACCACATTAAATGTACTAAACTTTATATCGGAAGACAAATCAGTTATAAACGATCAATGTTAAATCAGTCATTTATATTAAATTATTGCCTTATAGTAACTGGAAAGGAAACCAGCTATTTTCGAAAAGCTAAATGCAGGTGGATGTTAAGTATATGACTAGAATAAAATACTAATGCTTTCCTTTATGACAATGTTACTTAAACTTTTATCTTCGGAAGGAAAATTCGCTCAACTCTAGATTTTATTACGTTATGAAATTTTTGAGTAGTATTGATTAAAAGAATAGTAGAAAGTTTTTACTATATATAATTATTTACCATTGCCAATGATGAATTTGATTTAAATGTAGAAATAACTAACTACAAATATTTAATTCTTGAAATACGCGTTGAATTTACGAATCAGGGGATCCGGGCTGGAAATCCTACAGACAAACCAGAACCAATAACTCCTGTTTCAATCTCGGGGATAGACATTACATATTTATTGTCTAGGAATTTCGTGATACCAAACGTTGCAAGTCTAGCAAATCAACGTCGTTGCAGTCTAGAAAACGTTTCATGTTGCACCCTGGGTAATAAATACCCCTGCAACATACTTACCCTTCCAGTGACGAATAAGCGACCTGTTTTCGGATATAGTAACGACATATTCAATTCTTTATTGCCAAAATAAACGTTTTAGCATCACTGGTCAGGGGATTGGCAATCATACTTTTAAGAATTTTGTTTGCATATTATACATGAGGAAGTTCTTTATAATTTATGAGTAAAAACTATTTATCTTTGGTTTTGATTTATAATTTGAAACTAGTCAAATGAAATATAAAGCACACCTTTATAAATAAGTTGCTTAAAAAATAATCGTGACTTTTTTGAATACTTTTAGATTTAAAATAGCGAATTATAAATAATTTTGTTGTTCGTGCTAATTAAGTTCTTCTATATATATATGTTTTCGCTCATTTTAAATGTGCACCTTTCTCTTGTTGTACCCTTCCAGTGACGAATAAATGATCTGCATTCAGATATAGTAACAACATATTATTAACTCTATGATTTAAGTCTTAACTACATATATGTCACTTACTACTTCAGCGTTAAGACCCACTATTTTCAGAATAACTACTCTGAGGAATCTAAA